TTGGACACGACGTATGTCCATTCAACAGTATTCCTCCGAAACCCTACATTCCCTCACTGAAGACCCTTGACAAAAACTGTTTCATGGTGGTATGCATGTGACGACTGCATGTACCCGCTTACCCTGAGACGAGCCAAAAGCGAGTAAGGTCGACATGGGGGTGCCTACCTGGCCGTGGTTCAGGGTTTAGGTTAAGAAGTTTAGTTTAGGGTGTAGGTTGTAGGGTTTAGGGTTAGGGGTTTAAGGTTTAGGGCTTCGGGCCTAGGATTAAGGGTTTCGGGTTTAAGGGGGTTTAGGATGTAGGGTTTAGGGTCCCTAAACCCTAAACCCCATACCCTGACCCTGGCCTGGGCACCCCAAGTAAGTACCCTCTGTAGAGCCCAAATAGACACAAAGAGGATCTACATAGACCCTGTTTAAGAGTAGTAGCTGGGGGGTCTTTAACCTGATAAGCCACTACATACTCCCAGTTGCCAGATTCCTATATACCCTATCTACCCCCCTAGACCCTGAACCCTACACAAGCCCTGGACTTTTCGTCCTGTCCGAACCTTACTTTGAGGCTCCTGGGACTTAGTAACTACTTATAACTGGGATTATAGCCCTCCTTATGATTGGGGTAACCCCTAGAAAGGTTATTTGAGGGGATGATAAGTAGGTTATAAACCCAGTGATAAGTAGTTAGGACAGGAGCCCTCCAGAAACTCTAAACCCTAAACCCTAAATAGCAGTTTCCATGTTCTTTTCCATTATCCCTATTTGACCCCTGCGGCTGATGCAGGATAGGTGCGCCAGGTATTGGGCTCGATCCTTGCCGGCCTGCGAGAGTCCTGTTCCGCTGGCTTTGCACTTCCTGGCAGGCTTAGGGTTTAGAGGTTTAGGGATTTAGGGGTTTAGGGATTTAGGGGTTTAAGGTTTAGGATTTAGGGTTTAGGGTCTAGAGTCTAGGGTCTACAGGGTCTGTGAGAGTCCAATTCTGCTGGCAGCAGGTTCAGGGGTTTTGGGTTAAGCCGCTAGCACAGAACGGCAACTCGACGCTAGACCCTAAACCCTAAATAGTAGTTTCCATGTTCTTTTCCAGTATCCCTAAATGAGCCATAGTCTAAGCTCCTAGTATCCCCCTTAAGACGCCCCAACAGTAGTCCCCTATATACTCCCTTACAT